GGGAACACAAAGCCAACAGGGGCAGAAATAATACCACATTTTAAGAATGGAATAAGATCCCTATTATTTAAGAGCTAACCATTCTTGATTCAATGCTGCTTAGGCTAACAGGAGTGCTATTCAAGCTGACAAGGCACTAGTCAGGGTGGCTCGTGAGCTACTGTTTAGGCTAACCGAGATGATATTTAGGGCCTCTTGATATGAGCTGGGCAGACCAAGTGTTTTGGAGATCTCACCTCTCTCTCCCTTTCCTTTGTAAAAATTTCAATGTGTTCATATGAGAACGTGGGCTGGCCCAGTTACCAGGATCCAACCAAGATCTTGGCAACAGGGATGAAAATTTTTCCAGATGAACACTTGGGCTGGGGAACTGGGATGAAACTTTTTTTGACAGAATAGCTTTGCTTTTTAAACATAGTGTCCAAAATGGCATAAATTTTTGCCTTGCATTCATTTCCACTGCAGAAGTATACAAATTAGCTTCAATAACAACAATATTTAGTAAAGTCAAAAGAGTCCACAACGCTACCAAGGTTTTGAATGATACAACTTCATGCTGCACCATTTTAGTCCTATCTTTTAGATTTCATCCTGGTCAACCAGGCTGAAATTTCCCACATGAACAGAAATCAAAATTTGCCCTTGTAACCAAGGCAGCCCAGTGTCTGGGCTCACATGAAGAGGCCCTTGGCTAACCACAGATTCTTTCCCACCAAGTGTGGAGCTTGGGACCATTCCTGTATTTAGTCGTCCCTTTTAAGACATTGGTGAAAAGCTGTGACTGAGGTCTTGAAAATGCTGCCTGAAGCCTCATGTAGCATTTTCAAGTGCAAGGTCTCAGTTTTTCACTATACTGACCGACCCTAAGACGGTAAATAACTTATTTATGTTTTCCTCTCTCTTTATAATTGTTGACCTTTTCCACACACACATAACGCGCATTACTGTGACCGTGGTAGAAAAATGAAGATCCGGCCCACTCTAAGAACCAATCTGATTGACGGATTCATTAGTGTCCCTTCTTAGAAAAAACTAAATACATGAATTAACAGTTCAACACCACCGTCAACTCACATCTTGCTCTGGCTCCCTGCTCTAAAATTTGTGACAGCATGCTGTTTCTCATTTCAGCCTCCCTAAAGACATACGAATATGGGGAATCAACGTTAACTAAGCACGAGTTTTTAATTACACTGCCACATATTTTTTCCCTGATGACAACAAAGGCTGAACGTCAAGTTAAATGTTTATGTGTGCGACAGTGTTCATCTCACTAGTAACTACTAAATATTCGCAAAAATATTGACAATAAATCGTTACAACTACAGATCGGTAAAAAATATCGGAAAAATTACATCAGATTTTAAACATTTTTACTT